TATGCATTCGATTAAGATCTTCAAATATTTTTGTTTTTAATAATATTGAATTATTTGAATACGTTATTATAAGATAATTCAAAATTCCATTGTATAGAATATTCCAAAATATACCGTGGGGATATATTCTAAGAATATACCATATGGTATATTCGATCGACAATATTCTTAGAATATTCAAGGGAGAATATTCCATTTATAGACATTCTATGCACATTCTTTCGGGATTAATCTTGCCATATTCATTCAAGCATATTCTATGAATATTCTACAGGTATGTATATATTCCAAGAATATTCTATGAATATTTGGAATATATATATTCGTTTTATGATATACAGGGAATATTCCATGAATATCTGGTGCTGTGTGGGTAATAATTCATATTGAGATATGATTTGACACTGACACTGTTCTTCATCACCAACCATTTCCCAAAAGCACTCTTTTGAGAGACAATTTGCCGCAATTATCTCGGGTTGCAAGTTTTATCGGCAGTATGGCCAATATCGACTGTTGGAGCGCCGACAGCATACAGGGTGTAATAGTACGTTAAAATATTCAAATGACGTATTCCTGAGACAATTTCAAGAAAAACAGTCCATATGAACTTGTGTCCGAAAATGTTCGTTTCGGAGATACGGGGTGTTTAAATTGAATTTTTTTGTTCGCTTTTTGAAAATAACTCTTGCAAAAAATAAGTTATTTGCACGAAATTCAGTACCCGGGGTTCTTTTGACGTAGGAAATCATAATTTCGTATTAATTTTCATGTATCATCTACAGGGCGCTGCGTACGCTGTCATTATTTATTTCAAATTGCCCTAACTTTTTTGACAAAAATTTTTGGTACTTTTCATGAAAAAAACTAATACCCACGCCTTTTCCAAGTGAAAAAGGTAGACCTCCTCAACAACGCTGGTGGTGATCGTTTTCGAAATATTTACAATTTTCTATATCGATGCATATTACTTAGCTCCTAGCCCTTGAGTGCACGGGTTGGGTCTGACATACACAGCCTATTACGTTTGAGCGTTCCCCTCTTGAACGCGGCTCATATGATTGCCGTCTTCTACAGTACCTTCCTATCTTCAGTAGACCTTTATATCCTGAGAAGTTTGTTACGCTTGCACTTTTAGTTCCCGCTAATTCAGACCATCGGTGTATAGGTGGTAAGATTTTTTTCAAACTCATTTCGATGAAATGTAATGAAACGCTTATTTCACAGCTTTCATGATGAATGATCCCTACGAAAGAGAGATACGAGAGTTGCAATCTATGTTTGATGAAGTGTTGACTGACGAAGAAGTCAAATCTGATGATGATTCTGAGACGGATTATATGGAGATGTTGGAGGAAAGAACAAACATTATAAGTACTCATGAAACAGATTCATAACAGGAGCTGAGTATGGATGATGAAGAAAAAGAAATGATTGTAGATATGGATCAACGTCGTGGTATACATCGTCACCTGTCTTATGGAAAAACTGGTTTTCAATGGAATAAGTGCTGTTTTCCAAAGAATGTTCGAACTAGGCAACATAATCTGATAAAAAAGCTGCCATGTGTTATTGGCGTTGCAAAAAACTCAAAAACTGCAATGGAAACTTGGAAGCTATTTTTTTCGGATAACATAGTACAGAAAATAGTTGAATATACCAATCAGTTCATTGAAAAAGTAGCTTATTCATATAAAGATAAATACGACGTACGTTACACAGATATAACGGAAATCAAAGCACTAATCGGCCTGTTATATTCAGCTGGTGTCCATAAAGGAGGTCAAACCACTATTTACGAATTATGGGCAACAGATGGTACTGGTCTGGAGATATTCCCAGCAGTTATGGCTAAAAGAAGATTCCGCTTTTTGATAAGATGGTTACACTTTGATGATGTCGATACACGTGAAGA